ATGCAACCATACTGATATCCAGTGAATGACCAGGGTTATACCAGTCCTTCCATGGATTACATGCTTTAGCCTCCACCCTGGCACCTTCTGGAAGAGAAGAGGAAAATGTTTGCTTTGCCTGATAAACAATGGCTGACTTTTGAGAGAATTGCCCGTATTTTGTCAAACAGCAAGGTATAAGACTATTAGTTTAAATCAGAGTCTAAGCATTTAAATATTTCCAACAATTGATTTCCAGATGATGAACGTGAGGTCCCCAAGTGAGGTGGTATTCAAGGGTAAGCCCCAAGTCATTCTATTCAATAACATGAGTTAGGCTTAGATTCCGTATCTTTAGAACATTCAGAAAATTGATGCTGCAGTTGGAAATGACATATATAAAAGGAGCAAAACAAAATCCTATTACAAATCCCATTTATCCCATTGAATTGAGGAGCAGACAACCTCATCATTCCTGCCCTGTCTCAAGACTGTAACATAACCAGAATAAATACTTGTAGATACTGTTTTCTGTAGAAAGTTATCAAGATCTGACAACATAATGTTAAATTTGGTTGGGCTCAGCTTGTAACATTGTGGCCCACCATTCAAGGGTGAATCAAACATCTCTTAGTTTGACATTCACATTAGTTGAATAAAATAGCTGTGGAGTCATTGTAAAATATGACTTCTATACTCGAGGTGATAGAGTTCTTTGATGAGACAATCAATCCAAACTGAGTCAAAAGCACATTCAACATCGTGATGAACAACTATTGCAAGTTCAACAAAGCAGTGTTTACACATACCTTTGCAGAAATAAATTTTACTAGTTGAGTGTTGATTAGTATATTCTAGAATTCATTAAAGGCGAGAGTTTACCATATGCTTCTTGATTTGAGCAACTATATGATAGAAGATAAATAGGGTGATGAGGAGATATATGGGTAGTGTTACTTAATTTTGATATGGGTATAACTATCGTTTTGTTTCTATATAGGAGGGCTCTTATCTGTGATCCAATTACAATTAAACAATTGAAAGAGAAAAGAAACCAAGCAATATGACAAAATGCCTTCGTAAAGAATACGTGATAAAGTCACGTCCTAATGCAGTATCTTGGTGAATAAAAGCAGTTTATATTTCTCTCAGGATAAAAGGAAAATTTATTGACGTTGCAGATTTCTCAGTAATTTATTGTGGAGTGAGTGAAGTCTATATTTTCTCAGTCAGTGTTTTTATGGTATTGACTCAAGAAGAATGTTATTGCGCAAAAGCTTCACATTTCTTAAGAAAATTCAATCTCTTTATTTACAATGGAAGAGAGAGTTCCCCATCTTATTCGAATATAACATTTAGCTCTCGCTGACGCGAGATAGTTAGCCTGTAAATTGTTAAGACTCATAAATACACAGTAAACGAGGAGACATTATATCCATAAATTGTTTTCAACTCTACGTCATGTGACAATGTTAATTGTTGCCATAACGACACTTTAATAAACTGTGATCATCGTCTGGAAATATATTAAACTAATATAATGTAACGTTTTCTAGGATCTCTTTAGATAATTTTATGTTATTCTAAGTGTTTGATCCCTTGGGAGCAATGATTACCTACTTCAGCAACGAAAGCAACAAAATTAAGATTAGAGTTTGACAACTGATGAAGTAAGATATCAGTTTGCAATCCGTGATCAACAGGATTAATTTTTCGTTGATTGTGTATAATCACATGTTTCCTGACCAGACACTAAGAAAGAATTGTGTAGAATTCGAGTTACAGCTCTAACGTCTTACAAGTTCACCAACTGAGAGGATTCATTTCAAATGCTATAACAACATGTGAGGGAATAAATGTTCCCTTGACAGTCCAATTTCTTAGGTCCATTTTTTCCAAAGTCGTTGCACACTGGAAAAATGCAATACACTTTGCACAGACACTCTTTGGGATCTACCACTCCATATCAGAAGAAGTACCACCTTACTAGTGTTCTGAATGGCTGTCATTTTGTGTCAGATACATCTGTCATTGAATATGGCTTAAAATAGGGCTTTTAAACTTGCCTATGTATATGTATATCTATGTATAATGAGTATATTTTTAATGTTCTATTTTCGTACTTCACGTAGGTCTCTTTTGAGTATCATATGAGCAGGGATACTTTTCAAAGCACAGTTGGCCACTAGTGATGAATTTATCTAATATGTAAGGTCCAAAACATGAATAGGTAAGTATGCGCCATTTGCTTGAATAGAGACCTTAGATGCCTTTATATTCTCACCAGAAAAATGGGCTTGAAGTGTACACAAACTTTCTCCACATTGTAGAAGAGTTCAAGGAAGTAGGTACATTGCTTGTTGAGGTAGA